CTTCTTATGGCTACAATTGTTGTATCTTTTTCATTTTGCACCTTTTTAAGGAAAACTTTAAAAACATGAAATGCCTCACTTTTGTGAGTTAGAAACAATGTCCATGTGAACCTAGAATAGTCATCAACAATTACAAAAGCAAAGTAATTGCCACCGAAACTTTTTGTTCTAGAAGGACCAAAGAGATCCATGTGCAAAAGTTGAAGTGGCCTAGACGTTGAGACAACGTTCTTAGATTTAAACGAGGCCCTCACTTGCTTCCCCTTTTGACATGCATCACATAAGGTGTCTTTTTCAAACTTAAGTTTTGGGATGCCAATTACTAAGTCTTGTGAGACCAATTTATTCAAAAGGTCCATGTTCATATGAGCTATTCTACGGTGCCATAGCCATGTATCTTCGTCCTTACTAATGAGACATTTTGCAAAGTTGGACGGGGATTTTTCTAAGTTAACCATGTAGATGTTGTCGATTCTATCGCCACGTAGAATTACCTTATTGTCACTAAGGCGTTCTACGGTGCATGTCTTAGAATCGAAGGGCAAAATTGGAAGTCAACTACAATTTAACACTTCCTTATTTTTACACTTTGTCAAAGTAGAAACTCTTTTTGAGAATGGAGGGAGTAAAATTTAAATTTATAAAATTATAATTTGACCCAAATGACCTGAAGGTGACTTAGAAACCGCCTATTGGACCACCGGTGAAAGAATGTTGAAAGTTCGTGTACTTTTGTGATAGGAATTAAAGTTTATATATCGAAGTGAAATAATGATGAAAGTTCGTATAGCATGGGTGAAATTTACCCCTAATAGTAGTATTTGGTAATGCACTATTTCAATAAGGAAAGTTCGTATACCATGAGTGAAATTTACTTGGTAATGCACTATTTCAATAAGAAGTACAATGAAATTAATTGATTGCATGGAGCATTGAATCATTGATGGATTTCTTTCACATAAAGAATGGAATCAACTACAAAGTGTTTATTAAGAAACTTAAAATGAAACAAAGTGAGGGCATATTTACAAGATAAAAATTTTTAAAAATATTTTACCTGTTCGATGCTCATCTCTAAGCATTCATTATTGTTGTTGCATGTTGTTTTTTACAGAAGTAGACCCAACAATCTCATTAAAATTGCTAGTATTCATTACTTGTTAGAGTAAAGCACCGTAACTCTATGAAAATGGAATTAAGAATTAGGTCAATTTTAAAAGCCAAATGTAATCATTAGAACTACAACCAAATTAAACAAAACCTCATAAAAGTCATTACCATTGAATTAGGCATAAGAACAAATGACGATGAAGGCAAGTGCGGGTATGTAAGGGGGTATTTCATACATTGGAGGCAAATAAAATCCATGCAATGACGAAGAATTGTTGAATGCCATGTTATTGTCTAATTGATCTAATTCCTATTTAATTTTGTCCACCTTATATTTTACACATCCCTTTTATCCATGCTTTTGGGTAGGAAGAAATTAACGTTCCTAATGAATTTTTACCCCATGAATTCACATAACATCAAACCAAATCTTTCACATTGTTTATTCCATAGGAACGTGGAAGAAAATTACATGTGGTTAGAGAATTACCTGTCTCTAACAAAGAAACAATAAGGTATAAATTTTGTGCCAATCCATGATGATGATTGCTTGACCTCAATTAAATTTAGCATGTATCAATTAAATAAATCAATCAACCAAACATAGGAATTTACACACGGAGGGAGATATTAAGAACAAAATTAGGATTCTCTTTGAAAGAATTATTGTACAATCCTGCAAAGAAGAAATTACATATGGAGAAAGGAACCTGAGAGATTAAGCCCAAACTTGAAGAAATGAGCGTCAATCTAGGGTTAACACCTTGTGTCCGTCGAGATGGCGTCTAAATTACTTAGTCAGACGAATCTAGAGGAAGACGGCAGTGGCAGCTTCTGATTCCGACAGAGACGACGCTTGAGATGATGTTGGAGACTGCGAGACGGGTCACAAAAAAATTAACGGAGATGGTGATACTGTGACAGAAACAGTGGGATGGAAAGAAAAAATAATTCAGTTTTGGGGCCTGGGGCCAATTGTAATAAACAAGAGTGTCTTTAATGATGAGGATTATTGTGCCCACATGTCTACCTCTTATTGGTCCATGTGGTGAGTGTTTCAAAACACCTAATTCTAAACATGCACCGATGGAAACGTCAAATACCCCTTCTCACGCAATCCTATTTTGGAAAATTTCCTTTTTCCTTGTAAAATTACAACTGTAATCCCATTAAAGGGGAAGCACAATGTAACTGAAAGTTAGTTTCTCCCACCCGACTCTCCTTCTTCGTTCCCCCATCTATGTAGCATTTGATCAAATCCCTCTGTCTCACAGAGGCCTATGACGAGCAGGATAACTTCTGGACGCGGATATTGCACAAAACGTGGGTCTGTAAAAAATACCTAAACCACACCTGTGTATCTTGCTTGCAAATGAGGATCGTTTATCTGACTTGGGAATGTGTTAAGGTGTCAAATTTACAAAGGGAGTAGTTTCTTGTTGATAAATTCTTAAACATAAGATATAAATTATGAATTAAATCATGTGTACCTATTAATCATGTGAATGTAGTTAGAGATGTGGCCATGATTCTGATCAGATCGAGTTCTCGTTTATGGTGTATCGTTTTGATTGCTAAGTTGAGGATGGGACTCACCAGAATAGAGAGGCAGAGGGGAGACGTAAGATTGGTGGTTATAATCTCTGTCTAATGACCTCGATATATATACACTCAAGGGGAAATCGTAATTAGGTTGTAAAACAGAACAACAATGTTGGAAGTTACTGGATTTGAATGAAAAGAGACTACTCCCTGTAACATCGATGTTGGAATCTCAACAACGCTGTTGAAAAAGTTTCTAGAAGTGAATGAAAGGAAAGGACTTCCTGTTACAGCGATGTTGAAGTTTGTAACATCGCTGTTGGACCATTGCTGTTTGACGGTGTTTTGTGCAACAACGTTGTTGGCTGTTCAAACAGCGTTGTTCAGACAGCGATATTGCATGGTTGACATCAATGTTGACATGGTTCCCCCTGATTTTTGTACTTGATGAGTGGGGTACCTGCAAAAAAGAAAAAAATTCTCTAACGCTCAAGTTGGTACATGTTTAACAAGATAAAATGCACAACTTAGATCATCGTGGAGTCAAGAATTCTGAGTTCGCTTCGAATGCGGAAGAACAACTCTTTCTTTAAAGGTTTTGTGAAAATGTCGGCTAATTGGTTGTTTGTTTCAACGAACTCAATTTCGACATCACCTTTGAGAACATGATCTCTTATGAAATGATGCCTAATGTCAATATATTTCGTCATTGAGTGAAGAATGGGGTTCTTTGTCAAGCTTATGGCGCTAGTATTATCACATCGAAGAGGAACATGATTGATACTAAGGCCATAGTCCACTAGTTGTTGCTTCATCCAAATGATTTGAGCACAACAACTCCCGGTGGCAAAGTATTCCGCTTCGGTTGTGGATAACGCAACACTGACTTGTTTTTTACTAAACCATGAGACTAAAGAACTACCAAGTAAATGACATGTCCCACTCGTACTCTTACGGTCCAATTTGCAACCGGAAAAGTCTGAGTCGGAGTATCCAATGAGATGACACGAGGAGTCTTTGGGATACCATAGTCCAACGTTAGCCGTTCCAACAAGATATTTCATGATCTGTTTTACTGCCGTTAAGTGCGATTCATTCGAACATGATTGATATCTTGCGCAAAGGCATACACTAAACATAATATCCGGCCTACTAGCAGTAAGAATAGAAGGAATCTGATCATACCTCGATACTTTTTGACATCTACTTCCTTACCTTTCTTGTCTTTGTCAAGATGGTCGGATGTGCTCATAGGAGTTGCCATGGCTTTGGCGTTGTCCATATCGAACCGTTTTAGTAGCTCCTTGCAATACTTAGTTTGGCAAATGAAATTTCCATCTCTCATTTGCTTTACTTAAAGGCCCAAAAGGAATGTGAGCTCACCCATCATTGACATCTCAAACTCACTGGTCATTAGCTTGGAAAATTCCTTGCACAAAGACTCGTTAGTAGCACCGAAAATAATATCGTCTACATAAACATGAACCAAAAGGATGTTATTGTTTTTACTCTTGATAAAAAGTTTAGTATCGACCTTTCCCCTTTGGAAACCACTATCCAAAAGAAATTTACTCAAATGTTCGTACAAGACACGAGGTGCTTGTTTAAGACATGATCGGGATACTCAAAGTCTTCAAACCCCAAGGGCTGATCGACGTACACTTTCTCTTAAATGAAACCATTGATGAAGTCACTCTTAACATCCATTTGATAGAGTTTAAAATCCATAGACGAGGAAAAAGCGAGAAGTAAACGTATAGCTTCTAAGCGTGCTACGGGTGCATAAGTTTCTTCAAAATCAATACCTTCTTCTTGATTGTAGCCTTTAGCTACAATCCTAGCTTTGTTTATAATGATTATTCTGTTTTCATCTAGTTTGTTACGGAAAACCCATTTCGTACCAATAATTGTACGATCATCGGGCCTTGGCACGAATTCCCAAATGTCATTCCGTTTGAATTGGTTTAGCTCCTCTTGCATAACCAAGGTCCAATGTTCATCGTTTATTGCTTCGGAAATGGTTGAAGGTTCAATTTGAGAAACGAATGCCATGTGTCCTACAGTGTCCCTAAGAGAGTTTCGAGTACTTACCCCTCGGTTGATGTTGTTGATTGCCTGATCAAGAGGGTGATTTCTGTTTGTTCTCCATGCAATGGGAAGCTCGGTCTCTTCTTCTTCTTGTTCCTATTCTTCCTCTTGCTCTTCTTCTTCCTCTTGTTCTTCCTCACCTTGGGGAGTTACTTGAGTTGTCTCTACAGTTTGTGGTCGTGTGTTGGTGTTTATTTCTTCTTCTTCTTCATCGTCTTGGATGTGTATTCTTTCAAGTGAATCAGCAAGATCATCACAAACATCCTTTCTCACCAAGCGAGTATTATCCTCGGAGAACACGACATGAGGGGACTCCTCAACGGTCAATGTACGTTTATTAAAGACCCTATAGGCCTTGCTACGTAATGAATAGCCAAGAAAAATTCTTTTGTTTGACTTCGCATCAAATTTTCCTAAGTTATCTTTTCCATTGTTATGAATAAAACGTTTGCAACCAAAGACTCCGAGATGGGAAAGATTTGGCTTTCTCTCTTTGTATAGTTCATAAGGCGTTTTCATGAGTATCGGTCAAATGACAGCTCGATTTAAAACGTAGCTCGCGGTACTCACGGCATCCGCCCAAAAATACTTAGGGATTTTTGCCTCATTAGTCATAGTTCCAGCCATCTCTTCGAGACATCTATTTCGAAGTTCCACCACTCCATTTTGTTGTGGTGTACATGGGTTTGAGAAGTCATGATCAATGCCAAGTTCGTCACAAAAATCAGAAAATAAGTTTCGTTTGAACTCTCCCCCATGGTCACTTCTTATGGCTACGATGGTGGTGTCTTTTTCATTTTGAAATTTCTTTAGGAAATTTTTAAAAAAAAATGAAATGCCTCTGTAACGCCCTACAAACCGGCCTAGTTTTAAATAAATAATATTAATTATTCATTGAGACTCATTGTTTTAAATACTAAATATTGGGATTTTGATCTCATTAGATGGCTTTTCAAAGCTAATGTATTTTAATATAAAAAGATGTTTTAATAACGGACCTCTCAACATTAATTGAATAAATTAATTAATGATTGGGATAGACCCAGAAATTTGAAAATAAAGTTCTTAGAAAAATTATTTGAACATGTCATTAAATTCATTTTGACTGTTTGATTTCGAAAACGCAAACGGATCTCAATTCGGACCCGTTCGGGGGGAAAAGCGCGTACCGTTCAGGTCAGATTTTAACATAACGGAGTAAAATAAACATATGTTACTCCCAATTCATTTCACACGCCACCCCACATCTCACCATTCATATTCCCTCTTAATATCTCATTCATTTTCCATTATTTCCCCATTAATTTCCCCATATTGTCCATTAAATATATAGTAGCCTCTCCCCTCTTCACTTTCCACTCTCACTTGCTCTGTTCGGCCAAGCAGCGGTAGCAGCCGAGGTGCTCCGGCGTTGAGGCAAGGAGGAAGGAAGGGAGAGGAGAAGAAGGTTTACGCGAGAAGCCATCCGTTCATTAGACGCCGTTCGTTCATCTCGTTCCATTATTTCGTCAATCCCTTAATTTAGAGGCGAGTAGTTGTCCCCTCTAATTCTAGAACATTTAGTTATAATCTATGTCGTTATATTCATAGCAATATCGTACGCAACCTACAGAGAATCTATGCATGTTCGTAGGTTAGCCATCAAAACGTTCACTACGTAAAACTTATAAATATTGGGCCTAGGAATCACTAGAAATATATTCATCAATGTTTGTATTATTTTTCTAAAAAGAATCAAGGTGTTAAGGTTGCAAAATGGATCAAAACGTAGCCAAGGACAGAAGACTGTCACCGGGACGGTCGACCGTTACTTCAGACGGTGGACCGTACCCTCGGCCAGTCCAATGGTCACCGCTGGGATGGTCGACCGTCATCCATGACGGAAGACCACGGTGGACCGTCTGTGACCCAGACCCCAGACCATAGCCCACGGTCGACCGCCGGTAGGGTACGGTCGACCGTTCCGCGGGCAGATTTCGGGCAGTTTGTAGAACGAGCCCCATTTGACCAGTTTGACTCAGAATCTGATTGTGTTTGCATGAAATGTTAATATTCCTTATGTGTGTTATTTAATTGATATATTCTTGGCGTTGACCAAAGGTAAATACATCAAGCATTCATCATGTTCATTCTAGACGCATGTACTAGGATCATCATCATGTGCATACCGCTGTAGGGAGGTCACGCTTTCGTGCGCCTACTACAGTGGGCCCGTCCAGGAACCTTTGGGATCCAACGGGTTTTCATCAGGTGGGCTTTGTGTACGTACATGGTAGTCAGGCTACGGCTACCACTCGGTTTTTGCTAGTTCACTTGCGACGTTTTGTCGAGCCCGGGTCATTACCGGAGTGCAGGGGTGATCATGTCAAGTGAGACTAAGTCAGGGGTGTCCCTAATAGCTTAATTCATGCATCAAGTCATATTGTCATCATGTATGTTTCATGTCACGTCAACATTTAATGTGGTCGTCATCATCATGTATGTTCCACATCACACCAACATTCAATGTGGATGTTATTCATTTCGCTATGTGTAAAAACATCCCATCAAGTGCAAATTAATCAGTTAGTAAACATGTGGTTTTTCGTACGTTAAGTACAGGTATTAATATGTGTGTGGCCATAGGGGTTATCACTTAATTTTCTTTTGTTAGATTCACTCCTCAGCTTTTGCTGAGCGTGTAGTTGTTTTTGCTACACGCAGGTAGACATGACGGTACAGGTGCTAACCCTGGAGGACAGTGATGATGAGGAGATGGGCGGTGCATGGACGAGTTTAATATTTATTTTCATTTAATCAAATAATCATTTGGGCATGAACCCACCATATGTCGTTTTACTTATTCTGGACTTATATATTTACTTCCGCTTTTACTCCGCATTTATGTCACACATGTTTTGCAAATAACTCCCCATCATTTATTTCATCAATTAAACCCAACCGTTACATAATAAATAGACATTAACGCATTTTTCTCTACGGACGGTTCTCGGACCGCCCATGTAACCCTACCGGTCCGTTGGGTTGCGGGTGAACCGGGTCCACGGAAGGCGGGTGTTACAGCCTCACTTTCGTGAGTAAGAAAAAAGGTCAATGTAAACCTAGAGTAGTCATCAACAATCACAAACGCAAAGTAATTGCCACTGGAACTTTTGGTTCTAGAAGGACCAAAGAGATCTATGTGCAAAAGTTGAAGCGGTCTAGACGTTGAAACAACGTTCTTAGACTTAAACGAAGCCTGAACTTTCTTCCCCTTTTGACATGCATCACATATGGTGTCTTTTTCAAACTTAAGTTTTGGGATGCAAATTAATGAGTCTTGTGTAACCAATTTATTCAAAAGGTTCATGTTCATATGAGCTACCCTTCGGTGCCATAACCAAGTGTCTTCCTCTTTACTCATGAGGAACTTAGCAAAGCCGGAAGGAGATTTATCCAAGTTAACCATATAAATGTTATCGATTCTATCACCACGTAGAATAACCTTATTGTCCCTAAGGCGTTCTACCGTACATGACTTTGAATCGAAGGTTACACGAATTCCCTTGTCACGCAATTGACTTATGCTCAAGAGATTGTATTTGAGACCCTTAACAAGCAAGACATTATCTATACTAGAGTCTTTGGATTTACCTACGAAACCAATGCTGATGATTTTCCCTTTGCTATTATCTCCAAACACTACATTCCTCCTTTAGCGGGCTTTATTTGTAAAAACTTATGCATCTCTGGTCATGTGCTTGGAGCATCTGCTATCAAGGTACCAAAGTACACTTGATTCCTTCAAGCACACCTATGAAACAAATCAATGAGATTTAGGTACCCAAGTCATGGTGGGTCCTCGAGTGTTAGGTGTGTTATGGTAGTGTGCTTGATTGTGATAAGTGTCTATGCCTAGTAAAGCAAACAGGTGCTATATGTACTATCCTATTACAATAGTGGCATACTACATTAGGATTGTGCATATGCCTAGGTTGGTAATAATTCCTAGGGGGCCTAAACATGTTTTTCCTGTTTTGTAAAAAAGATGGTTTATGCAAACTTTGAAACTCATCTTTTCTAGGTGTTCTAACATTGTTTCTCCTATTTTGAGATAAATTATTTTTCAACACAAAATCATTTTGATAGTTTCTCCTAGGTTGTCTAGCATGCACATTTTCATTCCAATGTTGTTGTCTAGGTTGTCTAGTGTTCTTAGATTGACTAAGTTCTCTATTATCCTGATTTTTATCTTTTTTCGTTAAGCCTTAAGTGGTTTGTTAGGTGATTGCTCCACTTTTTCTTTATCTTTTGTTTCATTTTTATTATACCATATTCCTTCCTTAGAAAATTGCATAGGTGACTTGCTCTTTTAAGGACTTGCTCTTTTAGGTGACCGTGCTCTCAAGTTTTGTGACTTGCTCTTTTAAGGACTTGAATGATTCACACCCATTTGTTGAACTTTCGGGTTTGTCGGCGCTTCTTTTTCCATAAAATTTATTTTTTTGTTTCAATTTTTCATTATCTTTTTCCAGATTTTCAAAGTCCTTTTCAAGAGTAGAAATATATTTCTTTAAAGCTTTATTGGTTTTAGAAGTACTAACAAATTTTTCATAAAGTTCACATTGTTCCTCTTGCATTTCATCAAAAGAATAAGTCGGAAGAAGTAGTACATACCTCTTGCAAGTCTTCGTTTGCTTCTTCATGTGTTATGAGGCAAAGATTTGCAGCCTCATGTTCCTCTTAGTCGGTTGACTCATCGCCGGAATCAACACCCCAAGAAATGTAGACTCTTTGCTTCTTGAAGTCGTGCTTGTCCTTGCCGTTCTTGGCTTTTGGACATCTTGGCTTCATATGGCCAATCTCGCCACATCCATAGCACTTCGGGGGACCGTCGTGCTTCTTCCCTTTGCGCTCAAATTCTTTCCTCTAGAGTTTGTGAACTTTTTGATAACAAGCCCAAACTCGTTATCCTCAATGCTTGATTCTCCTTCCACCGGTTCCTTGGTGGCTTTGAGTGATATCCCTTTTTCCTTTGTTCATCCAAAGATGGGTTAAGTATAGTAGATTCGTAGGTTTTGATGTTACCACTTAGTCCATCGATGGTGACATTGGAAACGCCGATTGACTCGTAAATGGCATCGGCCTTTGAGCGCCATTCGGGAGTCAAGCTTCGCATGATCTTCATCACTAGATCCTTTTTGGAATAGATTTTCTTCAACGCATGAAGATCATTGATGATCTTAGAGATGCAATTGAACATATCATCGATCTTCTCACCTTCCTTCATTCTGATAATCTCATACTCTTGGGTGAGAAAGTCTATTTTTGCTTCCCGTACTTGATCTGTACCTTCGTACGTTACCTCAAGCTTGTCCAACATCTATTTGGTTGTTGAGCAGCAAGAGATCTTCCGGTAGTTGTCGGGAGTAACGGCACTATAAAGCATGTTTATGGCCTTTGCATAGTTTTCGACCTTTTTGATGTCTTCGGTATCAAATTCGTCTTGGGTCTTTGGGACCGTGGTTTCTCCTACCTTTTTCATAGGTACCTCTTCACCATTCTTGATAACCAACCACAACTGGAAATTGGTGGAACAGATATAGATTCTCATCCGTTCCTTCCAATATGTGTAGTTGGTGCCATCAAAGAGTGGTGGCCTTGAGGTAGATTGTCCTTCACCTATACCTGCGCACAAATTTATAGACAAAGAGCCCATGATCTTATTCCTCTCAAATGGTTAAGTCTTGAAGAGAGTTAGGCTCTGATACCAATTGTTAAGTAATAGTCCCAACGCTAGAGGGGGGGTGAATAACGTTTGAAACAAAAAATCACAGGAATAAAAAATTTAAGAGCGGAAGTAAAGAGTAAGGAGAAGACACACTGATTTTATCCTGGTTCACCACAACGTGTGGCTACATCCAGACTCCCGAAAGACTCTCTCAAGTTACACTATCAATGTTAAGCTTAACAGTGCTTAACAAACCCGTACATTTTGAGAGTTCGAGTTACACAAACTTCAACGAGCCTTCGAAGGAAACAAACCTTCTTTCGAACCAACAAGAGAATCACCTTCTCTTAACTAGTGTCTTAAACACAAATACACTCAAGAACAATACTCTCTTTTAGAGTGGATGTTGAGTAAACTAACAACGCTCAAGAACGCAACAAAAATTTCACAAGAATGGCTCTCAAAAGCTACGAAGAGTGTATGAATAGAATGCAATGAAGGAGTATGAATTGTGAAGTAATTGGATGGTAAAAGCAGGCCCAAACACCCCAATTTATAGTGGAAAAATAGGCTCCAACGAGTGGGAGTTGATTGGGGGTGATTGGCATAATTTGTGGGATTTAATTAAAAATGGGATCTGCTGAAAATAGGCCTAAAATCGATGTCCAAGTACTGAACATCGTTGTTGAGGCTTAAACTTTCAAATTGGAAGCTTCAACGGTCACCTCAACAGCGATGTTGAGAAGGTGAACATCGCTGTTCAAGGTGTTGACTTATAAACATGGAAAGTTTCAGCCTTTAATATCTTCCAACGGTCAGGTGCCAACATCAATGTTCACAAGTGAACATCACTATTCAGGCTTAACCTTC